CGAGTGCAACCGGCCAACAAGGACTATGGGCAAGCGGACTACCATTGAACAACGGAATCTCATCCTGGAGCACTTCAAAAAAGGATATTCACATGGCCAAATAGCTAAAATGGTAAATCTAAGCAAATCAACTGTGACCAACATCATTCGGCGCTTCGTCGACGAAAATCGGATAGAGGACAAGGGCAGAAAGGCACCACACAAGATTTTCACCGAAAAGGAAGAGCGGAGGATCATCAGGATAAAAAGGAAAAATCCTACACTATCGGCTCCAAAACTGACTCAACAGGTGCAGGATGAAATGGGGAAAAAGTGCTGTGCGGAAACTGTGCGCCGGGTTCTGCGCAACCATGACTTCAATGTCCGAGTACCACGGAAGAAGCCCTTTATAAGCGAAAAAAAAGAAGGGACTAGGATGACGCTCGCCAAAACCCACTTGGACAAGAACCCACTTTCTGGAACACAGACAAATTTGCAGATGAGTCCAAATTCAAAATGTTTGCCTCGGACGGATGGAATTATGTGTGGCGACAGTCAAATACGGAGCCGAATCCCAAAGACTTAAAGGCAACAGTCAATCACGGAGGAGGAATGATATCATACTAAGTATTAACATCTTTCTTTAAGTTTTATACGCCAAATATGTTATTTTTTTAAGACTGTCTAATAATAAATAAGCGGTGACATGTATTTTGGATATGTTTTCAGTTTTGACTAATTTTAATTAATTAATTAATATTTTAATAAAAACTAAAGTTAATTTTTCAAACGTGATATAACATAAAATAAATTGGCATTTAAACATTTTGCGTTTGTTTCTTTGTTTAAACTTTATAGCACTTTAAATTTTTTGCTAGGCACTGCGTCTTTTGAACTGTGAGACACTGTATGCTGCGTACTTAAATATATAAATATGTGTGTCACATCAAAATAATCCAATAATAATTGCGGGATTTTGCAATTAAACATACAATGTATGACTAGGGCGGATGTAATCCATACAGCTATGTATGTCATTTGCTTTGCACATTCATAATTATATTTATATATTTGCCACAGTTTCCAAATACAGTGCTATTTCATAATTAAGCAATTATAATTGCCATGGGTCATTTGGTTCGCACAACTTTGTTGCTGAGCCAGCAATCGTGATTGGATCTTATCAATGATATTTCGGCTTGTATAAAAATTATACAGTTTTGTGAATGGTTCATCGACATAAGCGACAACAATCGCGTTGCTATGCACTGAGTCACCCGACAAAATATAAAAATAAGAAGAGGGGATGAAGACGGAGTGTTGCCTGTATATATATATATTTCATATGGAATAAATTTGGAAAATTACAAAATTGAAAAAAAAAAAATGCAACGCCAGTAAAATAAACATGTTCCATATACCGCAACAAATCAAAAATTAATTACAATAAAAGGTAAAAACCGTTAAGGGATTTAGTCAAGTATGTATTTAATAAAATACCAAGAGTATCGATTGTATTAAAAAAATACCATAAGTATCGATATTATGAATCCAAAATAAAAATAGCATCTTATCGATGCAAGCTTCAATCACTAAGCAGACAATACATAGAGAAGTGAAATCGACTGGAATCTGACTGCATGAAAAGTTAGAATTTGGGCTACAAATCTCGCTGAGCAGCATCGAAATGGTTTGTTCGAAAAGCCGTCATACAATGAATTTAGCATGTCGGGACACTAATACCCTCTTTAAATTTGCACCATACATTTTGCGGACTTCAGGACCAAAAATTACAAAATTCAAAATCGAGTGTCAGCTTGCATACGAAAAGGCAAGGATAAAGTGTTGCTGCTATCTTTACACACACTCAAGAGTCTGAGCGATCCATAACCCTCAAGGACCTAGTAGAAAAAGTCTGTTCATGCCTGCTCTAGAACACGTCGCAGCGAAAGCTAGCGAAGCAATGAGCTGCTTTCGCTGATCGCCACACTATACTTAAATAATGTTCGTCGCCTTCGTGTGAATGCCCTCAGAACCCGAACGAGAGGAGTACCCGAAGCATCTGAATTTTCAAGCAGCCACTTGTCAGTCGATGTGACGTTTCTATGTATTGTCTGCGTGGTGCTTATTGGCTAACCACACAGAGCAAAATCTTCTGGGACCCAGGGGAATTTTTCAAAGATGTGAAACGATGTTAAAATAGTCAATATAATATCATATTTTTGTATGTAGCAATTATATTTAAACATTAATCAACCTATTGAAAGGATATAAAACATTGACTTGTAAAGGTATGAATTAATAATAGCACTGAATTAGAATCTATAACATAAACATGGAACTGGTTTTAGCAGATAATAAATAACATTAAATATTACATTAGTAACACATTAATTTAGCGCCCTACAGTCCAGAGGTCGCTGCATGGAGTCGCTTCAACCGCCTGGGCGTTGCATTTGAACCCAAGTGTGCCAGCCAAAGGGTTGACGTGGTTCTGCAACCGGTCGCGAAAATAAGTAAGTTGTGGAAAAATGGAATCCATTATCAAATACTGTTAATAATATATATGTTATTGAATAACAATTATTACAGTAAACTTGACAATAATAAATATATGTAACAAAATAAATTATGACATCGCCTGTTGATTGTTGGATTGTTGAGTTGATGCGCAATTTTTAGTACATAAAATTCAATTTTAAATTAATAATTGGCGCTGTGTAAATTCAGCATTATCTCCCCTACCAATGACTCAGACGAAAAACAAACTGTTGTCTCACGATTAGCCACGACGGCAACTGGTTGTCAAGCTAAAAATAAAAAGTTCACAAATAGAATTGGGTTAATAAGGCAAACCCCAAGGAACCAAGGAAAGGCAATAAATGAAATACATAAATTTTTGCTTTTCGGATGTTTTGTTGCCATAACAGCCAAAATTTATTTAAGTCCGTTTTCATAGGCACAGATTGGTTAATATCATTCGTCATGTTAACGTGCGTTTCTGCGAACCAGATCCAATCGGGGAGTGGGTCTGGATGCAGAGACCACGACTGCATTGCTACTCATAAGTTGAAAGTGTCGTAATAGTCCACATCATGACCGGATACAAAGGCGATCTTCTCCAGAATGTTGATCAGTTTCAGTGTTGACTGCAGTGGCTGGACGCGTAGCATTATCTGGTCCTGTGATACCATCAATAGTTCCTCCGGTATCAGATAATTGCCATTGATACCGCACTGGGTTTGATGAGTATCAAACAGACCAGGCCCATAGCTCAACACATGGACATCGGCGAGCGCCTCTTCCGAGGCCATGGAACGGAAGTACATGTCACGAGCTCGCTTGCACGAGCAGAGCAGCGTGTTGTACACCAGCGGACGCACTTGCAACGACGAAGTCACATTGACCACCAGCTTCTCAATGCCCGTTAAGGCTTCGGAATTCAAAAAGTGTTGATTAAGTGCCACCGGCGCGTAAAGGTGACGCTGCACATAATCGGTCCAAGCCAATTCCGTCTGTGGCTCCATCAATATATGGGTGGCGGCATCGCCTTCATTGTGCACGATAATGGCACGTTCGAAGTCATTACGATGACGGCCTTGCAAGGATTGCTCCAGCAGGTGGGCGCCATTGCTATGGTCCGCATTCAAAAGACCAGTGAATATTTGCACCGAATTTGGTTTCAATTGTTGCTTCAACAGCTTTTCCAACAATTCCAATTGCGCCCGATTCTCGTCCAGAATTAGCGCCATCGAGCCCGTTGCCAGGCGGCCGCACATCTCCTGGGCGAGCATCTGGCCAAGCGGATTCGAGCTGCCGCTTAACACCAGGAAGGTGCGTGCATTTAAGTTCACTTTTTTTGCCGCCATTTTTCGCTTAAGTCCTGAGAATGTCGAATTACGTAGATTGTAGATTGTAGAAGTTTCTTGCTGATGCTTGTATTACGAACACTTGCTGTTGTACAACTGAACTATGGCAAGCGCTACTTATTAAATGGTAGATTATTTTGCTGCTGATAAACAATCCGGGAAACATGTGTATTATATGGAACATTCAATTGGAATAAAGAACGCTAATCTTTGACACACCGATAATTACATACCCTTGTCGAATATGTCAATCGGCTGCCATCCAGCTCTGTTTTACAACTGGATTTGAGCTGTAAATTCTGTTGACAGTTGTGAAGTAAATATTTCGATTGCACAGCTTAGATTTGACCGTTGTAAGCTATAGAATATAGTGATCCGATTCGGGCGGACGTTGACTCCTGGGTGAACGAAGGAAAAAGGCGGAAATACGCCAAGTTGCAACTCAATCAATTTTTAAGCTGAGGAGCACAACTTAGACAAGAAATGAGTAGACATACAGACAGACTTGGCAATAGCAACTCGACTAATCAAGTCGAAGACATCTCCATGCCACGACAAAATTGTAATACCCTCTACAAGGGTATAATTAGGACAGAGACTGATACTGGGCTTTAACAAAAAAAAAAAGAAAGAAGATGAACAATCGACTAGACGTCGGTAGCGAGAGAGACAACGACAGCAGCGGTAATGATATGAATTTCATGGAATTTGCCCAGTTCTGTTTATCAACACATCCCATAACATCCACATGTCGCTGTACACTAGCCGTTGGGTTCTTGGGCACGTGCAACTGCCGAGCGAAAGCAGCAGCCACAGCAGCCGCATTCAGCAACAGCAACTGCGAAGCCAGCCCTGAGCCTGACGTGTAACCCTGGCGCACTAAAATGAGAAAGTGTCCCCGCTGATGATGAAGATGAAGCCATGCCATGATGATGCCGAATTTCTTTTCGCTCGAATTACGATGAGAGTTGAGAGTGCATAGACAACAAGAACATTAAAATAATACAAATATAATGAAGTGCACCAACAACTCGGTACAACAACAACAACAAGAAGATGAGCTGAGCTGAACTGAGCTGAACTGAGCTGAGTTTTGAACTTGGGTATAAAACGTGTCGGTCTCATCGGGGTGACTTCAAACGTTAAACGAGCGCAGAGCAGCACGCGACAGATAAGACGAGCCACCCATCAGTATATACATATAATAATAATAATAACACGAATAATACAAATAATACCGAACTAAGATGCACGGGTGCAAATTACTGTTGACATTGCTGCTGGCGCTGCTCTGCAGCCAGGGTGTAAGTACAATTGACTAAAATTTGCACATTTGGACAAACAGCTTATCTATCTATCATCTGCATCTATCTAAGCAGTTGCGTGCGGCCTGCGTGTGCTCGGAGAAGGGCACGGATTACTGCCAGAGCTGCCAGGGACCGACAATAGTGCGACCAAAGCCGCGCTACTATGAGCAGGGCGAGGTGAATCTATCGCCCATTGGTGACAATTGCTGGTGCAGTAAGCAGCTCATCGAACCCGCCCAGCTGCCCAAGACCTGCGGCAAAGTACGTGAGCTCTTTCAATATGTGCATGCGTTTAACAATCTGCTGAGCCGCCGCATGCTTGAGGGCGCCATCGAGGCCAAGACGTTGGCGGCACAACGTCTGGCCGAGCGGCTGCAGCGCTTGGAGCATGTGGACTGCCCCAAGAGGGGTCGTGCAGTTCACATGCTGCCATCGAGCTACGGCTATGGCTATGGCCGATGACTAATCCAGTGGCTAGCCAAACTTAAGCTTAGCATCATCAAAAATCAAATCCAGTTACACTAAAGACTACCACAATGCCCAGTTCCCAGTTCCCAGTTTAACACAACAGCACACATACATGCATAATTAACACCATATCTATATAGATATATATACATACATAGATACACACATTTATCCTCGGCAGCTGACAGTTGACAGTCGACTGTTGACTGTTGAAAGCTGCGAGCAACGTTTCCGCATGCAAGCGCTATCAGCTATCAACGTTCAATGTGAACAGTATTAGGGCAACAGCAGCAACGTTGTTCTTGCGTCATCAGAACTGACACCACAACAACCAACACCACCACCAACACCACCATTGCCAGCACCAACATGTTCATCATCATCATCATCAGCATAATGGACTTGGGCCGCATTGATCGCTCTGTCGTCATTATCATCCCGTACGTGCGCCAAGCATCAACAATCTCATGCAATGATAGAATTCAAAACTCAAATACGATACCGATACCCAAAACTCTCGTCGTTTCCACAGAAGCCATGCAAGCCCACCTGCAGCTGCCAGAATGAAGATAGCAGCTACAGCAGCTCCAGTACAAGCTCCAGCTATGATAAGTATGTAAACAATCGATCGCTGCTCCTCCTGTTTTGACACAACTCTTTTATTTTAGCATTCGGTATGTGTCCGAGAAGTCACATGATGACAGTGCACCAGCAGATCCCATAAGCGTTAGTCTGGCTGTTCAGGCTGGCAAGGCAATCAATGTGCCCGAGGCGAAGTTGGCATATGGATTTGCGCAGAAGCCTGTGGATGGACAGCAAAAGGTCTTCCATTCTAATGTGGCCGAGGAGAATCTGTTCAAGCTGAAAAGCGACGTCATCACACTGAAGAAGCGCACCTATGCCGTCAAGCAGGAAGACGAGGAATATGTTGAGGAAGAGGAGGAGAAAGCCAACGACGATGATGAGTCAACGCCACAGTTGACATACAAGCAGCTTGGTTACATTACCGAACAATACAAAAACCCCAAGTTCAGAAAGATTAATACCCGCAAATCAAGCTACAGTTCCGACTCCAGCAGCGATAGCTATGCCAAGGTGGGCGGCAAAGTAACCGTCGACTGTGGTTTCAAGCCTGGTCGCGTCACTTCTTACCGCAATGCACGTCGGCAGGAGGTTGAGGGTGGCAGCCATTATTAGATGGTGAAGTTTGGCGCAGAAACGGACTCTGTGTCAGCCTGTAAATAATTAATTGTATCTGAATGGAAATGGATATATGTTTGTATGTATGTATCTATGTATGTATTAGTATTTAAATACACAAATCAAGAAATGTTTAAAGCTAAGCAGAATACGTATATTTTAGGCATGTTGGACATTTTGCACATTTTATTATTTGATTTTCTACCAAAACATGCACATTTGTATGTACTGGGGAAATAAATATTCACGGCATACTCCATTAAAAAACCGTTTAAGAATTTTGTTTGAATGCAGGCAAAAAAAAAGAGGCGTTTTTAGTTCATTGAAGCTCAGCCAAATCTTGCTTGTAATTTAATATCTGGAAGAGCATGCTCGACAAGATAATTTGCACTTAAAGATTTTAATCAGTTGAACGAAAGAAAAAACCTTTTCGCGATAAGCAAAGAACGCGTTTGACTGATCATTTTCATAAGCATATTTTTTCTTAATTTTTTTACCCCAAAAGTATACAGCGCATAATAAACATTACTTAATAAACATAAACTTGCGATCTTTCTTCTTTTTTTTTTTTGTTATGATGAAAATATTAGCATAAACAAGACGGACTTTAAAGGCGGCTACTATTTTGTGTGAGATGTATCGAATAATGGATGGGCTTTCGTGTTCAAAAGAATGCAGTTGTAAATCAAACATAAACATAAATGCATAAATAATTAAAAATATGGTAAATATTGTATTTAGTTGCCCCTAGTCCAAGTCCAAGTGCAACACTTGCTGCGGCACTGAAATAAACGAACGCTGGGAACATGACTTTTGACGGAAAATATCGCAAGTGCATATTATTTGAAAAGGTCAGCGCGACCAACAACAACAGCAACAACAACAAGAGCAGCAGTTTAAACGAAACATAAACAACAACAATAATAACAACTTAGAGCGAAAGCAGAAAAAACATTGTTCAAGTTCAAGTTCATCGAGAGTCGTCGCCGCTGACCAGAACAGACAGAGCGCTCCAGACGTGGTCGTTGGGTTGTTGCGTGAGAGATTGCACTGGGATGGAGTCGAAGCCGATATAAAGAATGGAACACGCCGAGCTTTGGCTAGTAGCCAATACGTCTGACACCAAAGCAGACGCCGTTTGATACCACAACAAATACATACAAGTGCATACAATCCATATCCATATCCATATCATGTTTGCGATGCACTCGATCATGGTGGTGCTCTTGCTGCTAACGATGCTGCTTGTCAACGCTGCGCCAGCACCGACGCCGGTTCAGGTCGTCTATACGGGCGACGAGGGCTGCGATTGCCCCACCCAGCTTGGCTATCAGTTAAATGTGCCCAGACCGAGCAAGCCAAAGCAGTATACGGGCGGCGAGTATGGCTATCGTGTGGAGAAGCCCGTGCAGGCCAAGGCAAAGATCAGTTACAGCTTCGATTTCACCGTGGAGGAACCACGTACGCCAGCACCACCCAAAAACAAGCCAGCCAAGCTGTATGCCAAGGTGGATCGTGTTACGGCCACCAAATCAGGTGAGTCTTTTATTTTGAAATGATTTGCACGCGCGTCAACTAATGCACAACTTTCATTGTTAGATTGTCGCGCCCAGGACAAGTCGACCTGTACCTGCAGCAGATGCTCCACGGCCAAGCCAAGGTACGTAGCCCAGCCGCCCAACTCAAGTCCGAATGCTATACGTCGTCGTCGTGATCTGAGCTCCGGTCCCGGCTCACTGCTGCGCAAGCGTTTAATGCGACAGCAGCAGCTGCAGGAGCGTCCGCCGCGATATGTTAAATTCTATCACAAGGATCTGAGCCCACAGCAGCAGCACAAGATGCATCTGTTTGGGCTGGTGCCCCCACAGACGACGTCGTCCAAGAGCAAGCGCAAGTCGAAAAAGACGCCCTCTTTAAGATCGGGCCATGACAAACGGTGGCTGGGACTGAGAACCCGTCACATGACAAAGCGCGACATTAAGGGTGAGTATGATCTGCTGGAACAGGAGCGTGCCAACGCTGATCTGACCGCTCCAGAGATCATACAATTCATGCCGGAGACGCTTAATCCCAGTTTCAAACGTGGACAATGCCATATGGGCTGTGGTGCCATTACAGCCAGTGCACCACCATCCGATACTGCTGAGGATGCCCAGCATATGAGCAGTCCTGCCATCACCGAGCAGCCCGAGCAATCCGAGCAATCCGAGCAGCCGGAGCAGCAGCCAGAGCAGCAGCCAGAGCAGCCGGAGCAATCGGAAGAGCCATCACTAGTTAATTCGATTCCCGCCAAGCGTTCGACTTTCAGCTATTTTCCACTGCAGATACCATCGCCGTTGACTGGCAACTACAATGAATATAAGTTTGTGGATGATTCACAACTGCGGGCTTTGCTGTCGACCACCTCGGTGCCGGATCCGCTTGAGCAGAGCTCAACACCGCTGCAATTCGCCGGCGATTTGCAATCGATAAATCCTCGAAATTATGCAAAATCAGTGCTTGGCATTGGCAGTGGCTATCCGGTGGAGCATATGGCCGACAATCATCTGGACACCATCATTTCGGGCATTGTTTACAAGCATCCGGATTATGTTGATAACAATTCACATTATGGTGGTGCCCTGGTCGACCCAGAGCCTGAGCAAAAGAAGCAGACGACCGACTTTCTTAAGAAGCTCATTGATGGTCGCCTAGGCGGATGGGGCTTCGATGCATCCACCGAGCCCGAGTCGGCGGTTCAAGCTGACTACTCACGGACGCCATCTAAGACGTATGGCTACAATAGTCACACCCTTGACGGCTACAGCTTGGACACCTACAATGTGCCACCCATCAGTGACTATCTGCGCACCTGGTTCTAGGCACCCATCCGCACCTCCTTCTACCTTTCACAAATCTCTGTATAGTGTATAGTTGTTTATGTAGGGAATTCTTCTGTGGTCTTATTGCTATGCTTGTTGGCTAGTTTCTAATAATAATAATAATAAACAAACAAAAAATAAGAAAAAAACGAAACAAAAAAATAACAAAAATAAATTGAAAATCATTGTGGCAGTTTTTTGTTCACTCTCTGAATTCGCTTCTCGTTGCAGCTGCTACGGCGACAGTGATGACAACGGCGGCTATGGCTCAAGCTACTAAAGAAGAAGACCCAACGGGCCGGGCCAACAAGCCCGAATTCTGCTGAGATCTGCGAATATTGACGGGCCATAAATTTAGGCCAGTGGAACAGTGCCCGCCCCACTTCTATGTCGCTGTGTGTATTCATGTATATATGTAAATATGTATATATATTTATATATGTAAAATTGTTTATATTTTTTTCTTATTGTGCATTTTTTGTTGTTGTCTGTCCGTGTGTATTCTGCCTGTTAGGCGTTTTCGGTTCACGTTTACCTCTCCATCGTCAACTTCAGAGTTCTGATCTAAAAAACAATATTGAATAAACTGTTTGTGTGAATTGTGTCCATGTCTAATTTCTTGCATTATAACTTGGAGTTTATATTTATTCAGAGCTTTGTATTTAATACAGAATATATGTCCGCTTCATGCGACTTATACTACGCGATTCAAGCGACCAAAAGCGACTGACTCTTACTTCATGAAAGTAGCTTAAGCATTCCATCGTAGAAGGTCTTGATCATAAGGAACTTACAATTACCGTTGCTCGCAGGCAACAACAGATTAAGACTACAAAACGGGAATGCAAGACAAGCTGCGGTGTACATAGGCAAATACAGTTATTTCCAACATCTTGCATTATTTATTCCAACAACACAGATCCAGATACCCTGATTACCTATAGAGTTGATAGTATTATTATATTATAATAATAATTATTAATTATAATGCCTTTAATTGTAGTCGAAAACTTTAATTACTATAACACATTTGTAAATATGTATCTCTTGGTTAAACAATTATTGTATTTTTTTTAAAAATTCGTTTTTTTTTGTAGCTTGTTTTGCTTATTAACAGCTTAATAGCATTCAAGAAATTGTTCTGAAACCGATTTATTCGTGTTCCTATCAAGGTTGACAACTACTTTCACGTGTTGTTAAGCTCGAATCTCGTTTCTGATGTTCTCGTGTTTTTTGTTCTTTGGTAATCTGTCAAAATAGGGCAGGCTGTTAAAGAATCGCACAATTAAAAATTAAGTTTACCTCATATCGATCCGATAACTCGTCTATATCGATTACTGGCTACTTTAATTGCGCGCAATCGATGATAAGAAAATGAAAGCGCAAAAATATCAGTGCTCCAATTTAGAGTGAACTTTTTTCTTTAGTTTTTTTTTTTTTTTTTTTTGTATATTGCCTGAGGCAGCATGCACTAGTCGAAATTGGTCGAGCAGTTTCAGAGATCGTGATTACATTCCATGCGCATACCCAAAACAAATTTAGCAAGCACATTCAAAGCAAAAAAAGCAATTTTAAACAAAAAACAGTTGATGCATGCATACATTTTTGTGGCAGCTCTTGTTTGTCGTAATTTCATCGTGAGCATTCATAATTACTGCGAATTGAGATATGAATTCTAAGCAGTTGCCGTCGATAAGCAAACACCTTCCATTCTTTGACTTGTATTTTGTATGCAATCGTTTCGTTTTTTGTTCGTGGCTCAGTTTTGCGGAAGTCAAAACGCAAAGCATTCTTTCGGTTGATTTAATTGCAGTAAAGCACTCTTTACCGCAGATTTTCTTTGCTTGTCTATGGCTTGTCTAAAGACTATTTTGTATTCTATGCTATCTTTTTGGAGCACCTGAATGGATAATTTGATAGGTCAATTGTGGTTGTTGTTGTTGCACGAGTAAAGTACAGTTGCCGACAAGCCGACAAGAGAGTTCTCAACCGGAAATGGCCGCCATTTTGAGCGCAAAGCAGCGATCATCATCAATAACAAGTTGCATTGTGTTCTCGCACTCGTTTTAAACTCATGGAGCATTGTTACGCTTGCCACTAGCTAAGATACTGGCTCATTGTGATCATACGCGCCCATTGAGTAGTTAGTGCAACAACTTGTTGACCCTGATGCCGTCTGACGCACCGCTGAGATGAAGCAAGGTTGTCAGTCGATGATGTATGTTGATGATGCATCTGATATGCGGCCATAGATCACGTCTGTGCGCTCGCGACTGGGCGACAGCTCGTGGCAAAAATGAATGCAGCTGCCATCGAGTATTTAAATCCATTCCATTGGGGGCGCTGGGTTCAGTTAGACAACCGAAGCAGATCACACACATCGAGCATTTACATAATGGGCGCGCCTGCCAACTCTGTTTGGCTGCCGCTGCTGCTAATGGCCATATCAATGGCAATGGCACCGCTGGCAATAGCGCAGGTGAGTGTCTCAATCCCACCCACGCTCGAGTCAACTCAACGATTAAATGACTAAA